GTTACTTCTGCCTATTTACTGTGTTGCTGTATTGTTTATATTGTTTATACGTATACACCTTTAATTACCTATTTTTAGGGTCTGGCACAGCCGCATCGCAGCTGCGAATTATGCGCAGCAAACAGACACTACACAATAATTCAAAGTAGTTAATCAATCAATGCAGAAATTTCGAGAAGTGCAGAAAGGTTACCTAGGAACGAAGGATTTCTTTACATCAACATTGCATGATAACGGGGACATAACATATGAATGGTATCAATCGGACTCTGATGGTCTTAATTGAATGGGCAAACATTTCTGTGCCATCCAGCATTCGATGAGATTTTTGCAGTCATTGTCCTTTAAATATGAATATGAAACTAATGTGATACGATGTTGTGTCAGAGGACGTTTCGCTTTATCTGCAAGCCTTTTTCCTCGATATTGGCGAATTCCGGACGTGACCTTGGCACGGTATTCACAAGTGGGACCTTCATGTTCCATATTTCCGTAATTGTTCTAATTTCGTTCTATTCCAAGGTATGGAGTGAGCATATTTGCATAACGCTTACTGTTTAGTTTCTCTTTTTACATGACTCTTTTACTGGGCAGGTATTAGCACTTTTTGCATTTGATTCATTTTTCTAGTACTAATCGTCGAGAATGGTCTTCGAACATTTTGCATGTTGCTTCGGCTGCTGCTTGAGGATTTGATCGTCTTTATGAATGCCGTGGAATGCTCGCCGAGTCGATTCTCGGGCAGTGTTAGAGATAGGCGAGGTAAGGGTTCCCTATGTGGATCGGAGAAGAGCGTTTGGGAGAGGGTCGAACCAGCACCTTGTTTCCTGATCGGTTGCAATGCAGTTTCTAGTGGAAAATAGGCTTTCGAGTCAGTTCTCGGCACCGAATAGCCAACAGCTTTAGGCAGAGTGCTCGACCTCGTGAGAAGAAGCTAAGCAGGACTTTTCGTAGTTGTCACAGGGCAATACCTCAAACTTGGATGATTGAACCGTTCATATACATGGATGCAACATCGATACAACACTAATATCGACGGAGAACTACTGGCACACAAATAAGGCAAGTTCAAGACTATGAGATGCTGCACCTACTACTGAAGTGAGGCTTACAAAGGCATAAGAGTATTGTAAATAATACTATTACAACATTAGCGCTATAATAGCACCAACTTCATAACAATTACGAGTAAGGGGATACGGTTGTATACAGATGAGCCGCGGATTAGGCTGTGCTTGAGATCATATATACAGCGGTTGGGTGCACTTCCACATCAATCGACGAGGATAGCAAGTTACCTTAGCATTGATGATGCAAGTGACTACGAACGAGATGAGTTATCTGCAGAATACGGTCAAGCAGCTGGTATTGGATAACGATATGTCTGCAAAGTGAAGCTGCAAAGTGAAGTTTGAGCATCGATGGGTGCCACCATTGCCTAAGATATCATGAGCCAGAAAGATAACGACTGAGAAATGATAAGCCTATGGCGGCTTAATAAATACACAGCATAAGTTGGCCGGCTAGCAGCGGCTTTGTACGCATGGTGTACCGTGTGGGAGGAATGGTACATGCCACCGATGGCGTCTCACACCGAACGCATTTAAGGATAGCCGCGGCTACTGACAACTCACCGCAGACTAATTGATAAACAATGAACATTGACACGAGGATGAGCACTAAGATGATGAGGATACACTGGGCTGATGGGAAGCGTGACGTCGTGACGGTGATACTAAAGTAATGTATGGTTCGCAACTGTCATTTAATAATGATATGATGAAGTTAATGTACAATAATGACTACGTGCAGTATGACTTAACAACTACGATAATCTACATTGGTGACACACGAGATCAATACGGTACGGATCTAAAAATCAGGCGAACCCTGACAGAGGCGAACCAGGATAGCAATTCACGAGGCTATTTATGTGCTTCTGGAGAAGGCAGTATTTGGCACAGGTCCAGCATCTTTGCCGAAAACATTCGTCGGCTACTGTCTCCATATCCTCTAAAAGTCCTTTCAAGATCAGCTGGCAGAAGACTGCTCTCGCAAACATCCTCATACCCTTCTTGTTATTATACGCATGATGACTTTTGGGCAGTAATAACAAACAACAAGTTCAGATTGCAAAAATAGGTTTGCATAACAAGACTTTTTACACAGATCGAAGTTCTTTAGGATGGGATGAAAATATTTACGTACTACGACATTTGCTAGGCAACTCGGAAACAGTGGATATGATCCTTACTGCAGAAACACACAGTAATAGAAAGATAGAAATAGATATAGAAAGAAATAGAAACTATTCCGGGAATAGTTGCTATAGGCGGCATCATTAATCACTGCGCTACCCTCTCTCGCCGTGTTGTTAATTGTTAGTTTTTTTTTCTGGCAATTTATAGAGCGGATGCCAGTTGGATATAAACCCACATCTAAGGTTTGAGTCGGTAACTCTTAATAGTGCTGAAAAACAATGAATAGATTGGAACAGTAAGGTTCTTAACGAAAACCCTAGGAGGAAGATATGATGCCCGGTAAGCTCCTAAATCTAGCAAATCCCACTGTGCTACTCTTGCAATTGACGGAGCAAAATGAAAAATTTACCAGCGTCTGCTCCAATCACACCACCATCAACGAGATACAGGTGATGCAAGAGAAACAGAATTATTGGCGCGTCATTTCGCGTTCTGAATCCTCCTTTCGAGCAGATATCTCAAATTTCCTGTACCTAATTAGCTCCCCGTCTTTAAAAACACGGTTTAATGACAGATATAGATATATCACCCCACTCCTGCCAGCACTCTGTCACGACGTCGCCCGACGGTGTTTCTCATGGAAATTTAGTTGACACCGGTGTCATTTCCTTGTATTACTTAAATACTTAACTTATTAAGATTATTTCCTTTTGTTAGCTTCCCTTCTTGCTCACCTTCGTTCTGTCGTCTTTGCTTGTTGATCATGTCATTACTACGTTCTTAATTCCTACATTAATTGATTTCGCTTTTTCGTTATTGTTAAATTAGCGTTCTAATATGTATGGGCGTAACCAGCATTGTTTTAGATCTCGATATTAACGGAAAACCGCTACAACTGGAGTTTTTATTTCCTACTGTTGGATAAGTTTTGGAACAAACCATCGTGTCAACCATTCAGAACAGCTTCGTTCACCAACTCTTTAGTGTATTATCTTTAGACGTGGTAACGTTATCTGTTGGTTAATTCATTTTTTTGCATAGATACAAATTATTTGTGGGCGTAGTTTTTGCATTAAAATTTTATGGTGCGTACAAAAAATAGTTTTTTGGACTTGGCGGGATGTCACCATCGGCCTGTTTAAATAGACGCTTGCTTGGTAGCTCATCCTGAAATGTTGTGCAGTTCAAGCAATTCTTCCACTTGATTCTTTCCATTTCAATCGCCATCCGCACAGACGGTCGGGTTCGTGTTTGGGTTCAGCGGCGGCTTAAGTTCTCTTGTATTCTATCTTAATTGACATAATTTTACATTTGCAACATTGATACTCGTCTGACAGGACGAAGTTAGATGCTTTGCCACAGGATTTTGCTAAAGCAGTTGTATTACTTAGAGGGAGCGCGTTGTTCTACATAATTGAGAGCCTAAATTTCTATAGAGTAGTAATATCGTAGTAACCGTGAGCTTATTATAATGATAACACTTGATGTATTTAAATCGCATATCGTGATGAACATGGTCGTTATTTACTGCTTTTGTAGAGCAACCTGAGTATCAATTACGTCTACAGGAGCCAACTTGAATGATCGATGCTCTGAGAGAAATCCAACCAAACACCTGTGTAGCCGATATTAAGGCCGCATTGTTTTAATTTACCGAAACTGTGGACATCAACCGTTTCAACTGTGGAAGTAGAGAGAACATTGCTAATTACTAGAGAAATCGCGCCATTTTTTCTTACAAAAACACCTTTTGGGACGCAAGAAAAACAAAGAGCATGGTTGTAAAGGGTGCTCTATTGCTGAATAATGGAAAAAGCTTTTTATTTCCAGCTAGAATTGGTAGGTTCGTGGTTGTGTGTGGATTAGCGTTATGGTTGTAGTTTCCGGTCCTGAAGTTGATCGCTTTAGAGGTTGGTAGCGTTTATAGCTATTTGGATGTTTCCAGGATAGCTCGCACTTAATGGTCATTTGTAAAGAGGAAGGCAGACGGCATTCTCGTGACAAATTGTGCGCTTCTGGGCATTTTTTACCAAGAAATTTTTGAAGAGTAAACAGTTAGACCGTTATAGAAACGCAGTTCGTGCTTGCGGCTGCATTTGCAGTTGTTAGTAATGGTGACCTCGGATCATTTAACATAGATGTGGATTCAGAATGCTCATCTTCATGTTCTCAGCAGGTGTTTTTTTTTCGTCTATATCTAACTGTTCACAGGAATTCTATGTGTTGTACAATGTCTTTCATTTTAGTCCTCCCTGGGACCATCCAGTTCTTCACAACAGTCGTCCGATGCATTCTTGTCAGTGATTTCATGGTTTTGGCTTTCATTTGAAACCTTAGACAAAGTTAATTCTATAGAATTCTTCTGACCGGTATTATTTCGGGCAAAAATTTGTTTCTTTTTGATCGAATTTATTTCTGTCTTCTTTCTAGTTCGGACATTTCTTTTGCGATTTCACTGCCAGAAGTGTTTTCACAGGTTTCCAGCGAAGACATTTTTTCGCAAGGTATTCTATTAGCTATATATTATACTTCGCTTGAAGTGATAAGAATTCGCGACAGTTTTGTCTCTTATCTACTCCAGGTTCAAACTTTGTATGCTTAATGTAGATTTCGCCATATTCTAAGGCTAGCAGCCTATAAGGAGCCACAGAAAGCTAGTTCACTTTTGTGGGCTTTTCTGAAAAGTCTTATGCATAGATTGACCAAATGTCTTTTATTCACACGTACTTCACTCTTTTCCTGGGACCATTTATTCGATGAACAGGCTGCATTTGTTCTGCATCAGAATTCCTTTCAATTATGTCAGCACAGTTCAAGAAAACCTTTAGAAAGCAGAAATCCTACTTGATAAAAATCGCGTTTTCAATGACGTTGAACAGAGGAGAAAAGACGTTTAGGTAACCACAGTAGTTTACCGAAGTATCTCACATATTTCTGCCTTCTTATTTCCTAATTAAATCGTTTTTAACTTATTATTCACTGCCTACTCTTTTTAACGGCAGGGTATGTCGCGAAATATAACTTTAGTGATGCTGAGTTATTTGCAAAACTCCGAGCTACAGGTGTCTGCGGTGGGGAACGAACGCGCTATTGTCCTTTTCGGAGAGTAACACACTCACCACCACACCATGCGGGTTTTTCGTTCACCTTCATCACCTGTGGCCCGTAGTTTTGCAAATAACTCAGCATCATTGAAGTTAGATCGTTTTCTTCTTTCCATTCAGCTTGTTGGTTAAAATAGTCACCTGGAAATCAAAGCCACAAGAAATGTGCTAACCGTTATATTTAAATTGAACATTGTGGAAAAGCTGTGATGTAGATTGGTTTATTTCTGTTCATCGAAATTCAATTATTCCTGTGTACTAAGAAGTTCCATCGAGTTTTTTAAAGTTCAAAATAAATACAATAGAAGACGGCAAGGTATTTTAAAGGTCTATTTTATTAACTACGATTAGGACCTGTCAATCTGTGTTGTTTCAAAAGCGGTGGTTGCAAGAGTGTTGTACAACTGTATCTTGTCAAGCTACTGTGTGAAAGAATGAAACGCCTCTGTTCCTCCTTTGAGGATTTTATTCCTAAAAACACTATGTATCACAGCGTTTGCGGATCAAAGCAGTTCTGCACTTCATCGCGACTATGTTCCGTCTTCTCATGAAAGTGAAGTAAGTGAGGTAGTATAGTGCTGTGCCATTTTACGCTTGTACATGAACAAAGCTGTTCTGAACAACTGTCTTTCATCTTTAAGCTGTTACCCCATGTTGCTGCTCGCAACTCACCATCGTCTGCATGGAGATGTGATGGTCGCAATGTCCAGTCCATGTAAGTTGTATTGCTGCTGATTTGGATTAGGTGTGGTCGCCTTCATATTTCACTATTTTCCTCAATGAAGTTCACAGTAAAGGCATTAATTTTAAATTCTGGTATCGTGTAATGGTAGTTGGCGCACGCTTCTATGGAAAGTTTGAAAGTTGACCAGAGTTTCTTTTTGGAGAGTGGATATTCTGCACTGCGAGCAGAAAAGTACTTTTCGCAATATGTTCGCCTTTTGTGGACGTTACTACAGTTTTGAAATAGAACTAGGTATTAATTCAGATATTATAGTCTGAGCCATTAAGTGGAGAGCTCATCAGCTTAGTACGGTGTTCTTTACTATTCACATTCTATTTTGCAGATCTGGTGAATCATCATTGATGACGAGACATTCAAATGGTCCAGCAAATGAGCAGGTGACAAATCTATTATATTCCTAGGATTCACCTCTGAATAAGCAAAATACGAGTTCATAGTTTCCTAATAGGCCGACATGCGATCACTGCAATTTTTAGAGCTCTGTTAGTCCTCCGAAGAATTTAACCTTTTCTTTTTAGAGCAAAACACTTATGAACTTTCAGCCAATTGGTCGTTCATATTTTTAAAATCGCTACCGTTCCAAACTTTGATTTTATTCATTTATCAGTTGGTGTCGTCACACATTTCTTAAGTGAAGAGACTAAACTGAATTCTTCGGTCAGGTGTTTTCATGTTAGATAAACACATAATTACCAGTTTGTGTGAAGACAATTGTTCCGCTTCATCCTTTAAGTTAGCGTCAATAGTATTTCATTGGACTGCTTACTAATGTGTCAAGATTTAAGTTTGGAAGCTTAGTACGATGTTACCTCTCAACGGTTTACCATCTCATCGTGGCTGGGAGGTATTCCTAGGTCTCGGGATGCGATATACAGCAGGGTGATTCATCCTCTCGGTAGGGTCTCCCATGCTGAGGAGTCCTAGGTTTTCATTAGGAAGCCCGGCTAAGAGTGAACCAATACCAGAATCCACCACCGTCGTGGTATGAAACTAACTGTGTGGTGACAAATCTCCTTCTAATCCACAAAGGCCGGCGACTGTCTGTGGCAGTGAAGACCTATTGCAGACTTTGACTAGGCTGACGTCGGGCCTCCTGGAAATCGCAACAGATAGACCAGCAGGACTCCGAAAAACGGAAATTATGCTGTGTGCTGCACAACCATTAAAGATCAGACATCCAAGTATCGAAGTAAGTACGATGTTATAGAAGTGCCAGTCAAATTTGGCTGTACGACAGCATTATCTTCATTCAATCTGCTTCATGTCTAATCGAGCATGAATTTCGAATGAGATCTGCATGTTTTTTGTTTCTCGTCAGTTCATAGCAATAGTTTTAATACTTCTTTGCACACTTTCATTCATGAATGCCAGTTGGTGCAAAATTCGTCATGTCTGCTTTTGCTCTGAGCCATTTTTTTAAAAGACTGAGCTTTACTTATCGAAAAATGTTCATTTTAACAAATAAATTCCGACATTCATTGAGCTCAGTGGATTTCTCGGGAGAATGAGAGCCGGTTTCAATCGTTTCCGCCATGTTTTGACTCGTTTTTAAGCCTATTCATTAAATTAGAAGGTGTTTAAATTTGTAGGTCTTTGCCATTTAGGTACATGCTCTCTTTTTGTTTTTTTTCTTTTTCTAAGTTTATTTTTTTAGGGCCAATGTTACTTTTTGGAAGGCGATCTGGATATCATCAACGAAAGACCGGCCAGACCAGCAAATCAAGTTAGTGGCCCGCCTTTTTTCACTTTATTAGGATAGCTAGACATATTGATGTTCTAAAATCTTCTTTTATCTGTATTCACTTGCTGTATTCATAGAGACTGCTTTTTACTACAGAGTGTTTTATGCGATAGCAGCATAAATTTGTTGCAAAGAGCTTTTTCACGGAATGGCAGAAATGTTATGTCCGAGCGATTCTGGATCGACATGCGCGATTTACAACTGCAATGGATAGAGTGAGTTACTCCATGTAATTTTTAATATATGCTTATAGGACGGTTGGAAATCATTACACTATCTTCCTTGAGAAGTGAATGTGACTAGGTTATTGTAGTGTACCAGGTTTTGGTACGCTTCACTGGTTTCGAACAACAGGAGCTCGACGTATGTAATGTTCTGCCGCTGGAAACAACACACATCCCCGAAGCGACTGAACGCTCAGGCCATGTAACACTTTGATGACCAACAATAAATTCATGATATTCGACTGGCATATATTACCAGTGCTACGATAGTGATGATTGATCATAAAAAGTTTAAGAATTTGCCTTGTTTTTATTCGTGAAAGCATCTGATTAGTCGTGTTAAGTTAAACTATTGATGTTACTTATTGGGGCTTAAGATTTAGCGTTTTTTGCTTTTAGGAAGATCTGCACGTCATCATTTGAGCGAACTGCTGCCACATCGTACACTTTGGAATGTTGGACGATTCTCACGAAATTCTTTTCGATGTTCAGAGTACGTTAACTACTCTTAACATATTCACGACCATGCCTAATTCTCGTTGGCTAGTGGCATGGTACCGTGCCCAATTTTTCACCGCACGTACTGTGAGCCATGCGCGATTCATTATGTAGACTGTGCTCTGAACTTTTTGTTTCCTATCTCTTTTTAATAATTTTTGGGAAATCTCTATTTCCTATTTTTTTTCATTTGATCCGTCTTCACGTCTACTGTGCGGTTCTCAGCATTTCTCACATTCAATTCGTTTCCTCGAATCCATCGTCTACGAAGATCTTCCAACTTTACGTGTGGATCCGGTTGCTGCTTGAGGATTTTAATTTCATCTTGAATGTCGTAGAATGCTGGTCGAGCAGTTCTCCCTGGAGTTCTGAGATAGCCGGGCTGGAGCATTCCCAATTGGGTTGCGGAGAGTAGTTTTTCCCAGACAAGTCTGGTACCAATTTCCCTACGCGGAGGGATGAAAGGCTTGGTTGACCCGGAGCGGAATCGATCTGG